GTAAGAAAGAAGGATGACAGAGAGAGAGGGAGAGAGAGAGAGATAAAGAGGAGGTGGAGAAAGGGAGAAAGGGAGAAACTGGACGGTGTACGTGTGTGGGTGGGTGGCGGATGGTGAAGCGCAGAAGTTTAGGAATGTAGCTTCATCACTTCCAAATTGAGGACAGATTCAATTATTTCCAAAAGAAAAAAAAAACCCACAAAATTCTCTCTGCATTGTTCGAGCTGGAGCACCAAATTTGGCAGCAATCGCATTGGCAGCATTGGAAGGGCCATTTGTCTTAGAGGAGGAAAGACCGTCTCAGGCATTACGAGTGTATTTGTATGTAAGTGTGTGTGTGTGTGTGTGTGTGTGCAAGCTCATTTATCTTGCAGGGGAATGAGCAGGGGAACGAGGACACCCCGTGAGGCGACCAGATCATTACCCATCTGGGATCAGACACACAGAGAGAGAGAGAGAGATTTCACTAACACTGCCCTGTGCGTGCACACAGGCACACGCACACACACACGCAATGTATCATTGTAACCAAAGGAGACAAATCTCATTTTCATTTGGGGACGGAGCGCCACAGAAGCTCCTCAAACGCAGGCATTTATAGCAGGCAGCGAGGAGTGAGGCAGGGAATTGTTCCAGCCTTCCAGCTGACTGCTTGTTCCAATGCAATCATTCAGCATCTAGGCTCCTTTTTCTACTTTCTTTCTTTTTTTTTTTTTTTATAAATGGATACTTAGATTAAGGTATGTTCTGCTCCAGGTGGCCCACTAAGACCCCGGCTACGACATCACAATGCAGCATCCGCAGCTACGCAAGGTCTGATTGATGTGGCTGCAGGATTTACAAGAGATTTGATTGAAATCTAAAGAGATTTAGCTTATTGCCAGGAATTATTCCCTTACCATCTCCTCGTCTGATGTCATGTATCTTCCCCGGCAGGAAGATTATACACAAAATTGTCTTCAACTGTAGTAAAGTGGCTTACACCGGCACTGACATTTAATCACGATCAGATTTAAGATGCCATCCACTTTGACATGATGAAGCAGAGATGGTTTTTCACTGCTGAGAAGAATTTCCACTCGGGATACAATTGAATTATTGGGGGAAACATTGAATCATTCTGAGGTTTGCCTTTTGGCCTGAAGAAATAAAAAGGAGCCTACGCTGAGTTGGAAAGAAGAGCAATTTAAGGTTACTGTCCAAAGTTAAACGCTGTATAGAGCTAAAAAAATAAATCGACTCATGTATAATTTCAGTCGTGGCTGTCCACTGACAAAGCTTAGAGATCAAAAAAAAATCCAACCAACCCTGAGGAACCAACACTTTACTCTGGCTCTAATTGAATGTTTATACTGTGTTAGCAGTGAGAGTGGGGCCATTTTATCTCATCATATTCACCTTTCAGTAACAACTTTTGGTATTCATCAAAATTAGAAAGTCTGTTGGATGCGGGGAAAAAAAACTAACCTTGTCGTAATTTCATCAATAAATCCTCAATTTGTTACATTCTTCAGGGCAATTAGGCAACTAATGGGAAATCATTCACATCCACATTATCTCCACTTATCTCATTTGCTGATATTTAATATGGGAGACACACCCACTGTGGGTATTGATTGAGCTCTAACCTTCCAGGCTCAGATTAACTGAGGGAGGTTTGAACGACTGAGAGGGAAAAAAGTGTTTCAAGTTTTTAAGTTCGATGTTGAAGTAATGTTGGTGTTTGTTTACTTTGGGTGTCTACATTATTATTACAAAGACGGCTCGGTGCTTGAAGAACACTGCAGAGAAAATCAATATGTGGAGAGGCTGCGTATCTCACACTCATTCTTCACAAACAGAATCAACAGAAAAATGTTTCATTTATGAGTGCGGTCTCCTTCGAGTGAGAAAACTCTTCACAACGTCTCTTGGTGTTTGTGCTGCCAGTGACAGGGTAAAAGCTTTACCTTTTAAAAACCAGCTCTACTAGTGTGTGTGTGTGTGAAAATGTTTTTTTCAGGGTTACTTACTTTTCAATCTCGCTGTTTTTGCAGGTGCGAGGGGCGCAGGAGGAAGAGGAGGAGGAGGAGGAAGGAGTGCTGGGGTCTGTCTTGCTGCTTTCTCCGTTGCTTGTTGAAGGCATTTCTATGAACGACCAGAACCAAAGGAAAGTTAACAACATGAAAATCAAAGGAAGGATTTCATCTGAAAACCAAAGATTCACAGTACTAATAATACTTTTTTACAGCCAAGGACATTTGATGGATTTTCATGGAGAAACAAGCAGATGTTGAAACACATTCAAGTATCCAGTAAAAAAAAACCCAAAACAAATATACCACAGAAATGTAATAACTAATTTAATTTTAATTTCTATAATATTAATAAACATTTTTGTGTCAAATGTTTCATCTTCTTTACTTACCATCACTGGCCCATTTTGAGAACTCCGGTGTTATTCTGTTGGAGGGCATTCCACCACTAGGGGGACAAAAGAATTGAGAGGTTTTTTTTTAAAGAAAGAAATTCTAACATTTATAGCTCAATTACAAAAAAAAAGTGTGCAACACTTAAATTATTAAATTAATATGAATCATTTAGCATATGTTCGTGTGAGTTCGTACTTGAGCACGGCTCCTCGTAGCGCCTCCCTCTCTCTGGCCTCTCCTTGGTCCTCTCCAGCTCCAGAGCAGGGAATGATGTCGGCCTCAGTGTACTGGGCTTTGCCGTACTCCAACGTGTCATCGCCGTCCACGTCCAGGTCGGCATCGCTGTCTGCTGCACTCTCTTTTATATTACATGTGGCAAAACCAGTTCCTGTGAAAGCAGAAGATGTATTTAGTGTTAGAGACTCCAGTAGTCGACAGGCTGCTGTTGTGTCAAATCAGGGTTTTAATCAAAAATTAATTAGAATAATAATTTGTTGAAAAATACATTTTTTATTTATTACTAGATGTTCCAGGCGACCACACAAGGCCAAGCAATTCCATGTGATTCCTGAAATAAATATCGGAAATTTGCATTAATTACTAGATATTCCAGGCGACCACACAAGGCCAAGCGATTCCTGAAATAAATATCGGAAATTTGCAAAGCCAGCGGTCTTCCTGAAGCGGTGGGGGTAATATTTTAGAAACATCTACCAAAGCTACACCGGTATCTAAATTAAGAAACTGAAATCTACCAAAGAAAGATGAAAGATGTCTGAATAAAGATAAAGACTAAGAAGTCAGAGAGAGGAGGAAGAGGAGAGAGAGGAAGAGGAGAGAGCGACCACAGTGATGAACGCTCAGACCAACCATCACCACTGCCTTCAGCTCCATTTACCCACAGTGTCAGCCTGGTGTGAGTGTGTGTCTGTCACACGGAGGCAACTCTTCAGTGTTTGTTTGAAACTGTCTGTCCCTCTGTCACTTAGCCCTCCCCCCATCTAACTGAACCCCCCCTCAACCCAGTGTGCAGGTGTGTGTGTGTTCACGTGCACAGATGGGGGGGGGGGAGTCAGTCTACCTGTCACTTAGACCATGTCTATCTGCTGTGGAAAGAAAGGTTGGTCTGTGTGTATGTCACTTACAGGCTGACTATTTAAGCACTTGAGGGCAGGTAGTGTGTGTGTGTGTCTGTGAGAGTGTGGACACACCTGTGTTTCACTTAAGATGTGACTGTGAGTGTGTCTACCAGTGACAGGCCTGACAGCCATCTTATTTACACCTATCCCAATTTCTACACATTTATAGTGCGTGAGAGAGAGGGAGAGAGAGGGGGAGAGAGAGCTGATCCAACCTAGACAGAGTTGACAGCCATCTTATTTAACCCTCTGTCCTAAAGTCTGTGCTTCTCCACACTCGACTTCCCAGAACAGTTGAAGTCTCAGTGCACTACGCCGTCTTTGTCAAAACCAAATCAGCCAGTAGGGCTCGCTTTCCTGAGGTTCTACTGGGTTTTGAAATATCATCTGCTGCTTCTCGTCCTCCTCAACTCTGTTCATCTTTTCGTTCTTATTCTGGAAACGATGAAAACAATGAGCAGGACAACGAGAAAAAGGAGACAAAGTCCTGCAGTGACTGAAAGATGTTGTGGTAAAACCTGAAACCAATGCTGACTTTATGACCAGCATGTGGTTTTTAGTGATGGAATAAAAAGGACCTTTTAACTTGATGGGAACAACGGCCACACAGTGTATGTCCAGCAGCGCCCTCTGCTGAACATCCTCAACACTTATCATGCTATCTAGACTCTTTTAATGTCAATTTAAATAAAATATCACTACAACAACATTGTTAGTAAAGATATGAACAGAGATGTAGGATCAAAGAGTCTGGGAGCCCAGGTCGGCCCATCAGTGACCCTCAGTGACATCCAGTTACCATAGCAATTATCAGATCCACCTATGCAGCAAAGAGGAAGGGTGTCAAAGGTCATCGCACTATCTTTCTGCCATTTACAGGTCAGAGGAAGAGTCAGGGGGAGATGGAGAGGGAGAAGCAGACACAAAGACATGAGACAAACAACTTTGAAGTGCATTTACAAAGAAGAGATTTGTCCACGTCTTCATTCCCTCTGGACCAACTGAACCTGAAGTAATCCCTCGTTTCTTCTCTGCTGTCTCCGAGGATGGCCTTATATCAAACCTCAGCATCTATATGTCAGCCTTCAACACCTGCCACTAACAGGACACACAAACATTTCAACAGTTTTGCGCCAACATTTTTCAGAAGTAAAAATTTTATTTGTCCGTATTTATACATCACTTCTTGATGGTCACAAAAGCTTTTTTTTTATTTCCAAGCTACAGACATTTAAATGACTTATTCTTCAGACAGTCTGTAGACTGAGGGAAAAGGTCTCCGTCTTTGTTACTTGGGTTCTTTTAACCTGGCTAAGCTCCAAACCCAGTCTTCCCCCACAGAGAGTTAAATCATAAACTGATCTGTTCGATTTTTCCTTCCCTCCTTCTTCTTCTTCCTCCCCTCCTTCCTCCCCGCCTTTTTCTCTCTACCTTTCTTCCTTGTTGCCTCAAAGGGAGGGGGTGGGGGGAGGCACTTCACAGAGGGATCAGCCCTCTCTTCATTGCCAGCTGAGCAGACCCCCTGCAACATCTCTATATCCGTCTAGCCTGCAGAGAGCCTGCTGGATTCATTGGCGTGTGTTAGAACCGTCGAGGAGCTTTCAAGACAAAATCCACCTTCAAACCCCTCTGTAGCATGTGTACGTGTGTTTCAAGTCACACTCCCCAGGCCTCCTCAGTTATCTGTGCCACATCAGAAGGTACCCTATTAGAGTGCAGCAGAAGGGTCCTGTATCTGCTTGTTTAATGATGTGAAAAAGAAGGACGGATGGAGCGCCGCGTTGTGGAGATGGATGGACGAGTGGAGATCCCACCAGCGCAAACTCCTCTTTGGAACGATTTAGTTGAGATTTCAACATTGATCTGTCTTGTCTCCCCTCTCTTGCCCGCCGAGAGGGAGGAGGGGGGTGTCAGGTTAGGCTCAGCACGAGTGTTTAACAATAGATTGAACAGGGAAAAGGAGGAGGAGAAATAGAACAGGGCTAGATGAAAGCAAACAGACGCCACACAGAGTTTGACAGAGCCTGCTGGGGATGAAAACAGCTCTGTACTCCCATTGGTGCACATTCTTGATGACCCAACTGTAATTGTCTGTACACTTGAGAAACAGATGCAGCTGAGGTTCACATTACTTGAACCTAATCTGATCTACAGCCGTATTTCTGTAAAACAAAAGGTCAACTGCACAGGTTTTCCAGATCTTTTCTCAACTTTTTTTGGTTGGGGGGAGGGGAGGCACAATAGTGCAGCCCCCAAATGGATTTGCAAAGTAAATACCAACAGACAACAACAACAGTCAGATATGTAGATAGAGCTCAGACTGTAATCACAGGTTTTGGTTTTAGTGCCAAAGAGTGCGACGTAGAGGCTAGGTGGAAAACACGGTGGAAGCACAGAACAGCCACTGTGCTCCCCAGTGACCAGCGCTCCCATCTAGTTCTATAATTGCATTCCTGGAAACACACTCGCTCACACACACGGCACAGTGACCAGCAGGTCAATTGCCCAGCTAAATGTGTTTTCCTTCCTCTGGCTAAGAGGGTTGAGTACGGCTGAGCCGAGCTCAGATGGGCTGGGCTGACCCCGGGCCATCCTGCGTTACCTCCAGACCCGCGGCACCATTATAGCTCCCTGGTCAACAGTGGAAGACTGAGCTAACACTGCTCACAGTGGACAGGAACAGAGGGAATGATGGATGAGCACAGAGCCAGGGAGGGAGACAGAAAGAGAGGAGAAGGAAGGAGTCGCCACAGTAGGGAGAAAGGAGGACACAGTCTGCTCAGTCCAAACTGCTGCTGACATTTTGGTCACTTTTCTACAAATAAAAATATCTGAACATCCAAAAGCACAACAGCAAAACTACTGCTGCCAGAGATGATGGAAAATAGTTCAAAATGTAAATACCTCTGAAGCCTCCTTCCAGCAAAGCTGTAGCTCTGATCCTCTTCTGTCCTGCCCATTCATATTCTTCAAAGCCCCGCCCATTCTCTCCATCCATGTCTGCAGAGTCATCGTCAGCAAGTGCACCCTCACGCTGACGCACAAACACACAAACATCCACATTAATTTAAACATAGTGTTATAGAAAACTAAATAATTGTTGTGTTTGCCTTTAACTGATCTAAGTAATGACATGGTGACAGGTCACTGTATCACACTGTGGACTGTACCGCAACAAATCCACAACGAGCTGTGGTCAGAAACTGTACTGAGGGTTGGTTGAAGGTTTACCAACGTCATCCAAATCAGACGCTTTAAACTGAATCAGAGGAGTTGGTAGAAAACCTGACACACATGAAAAGCTTTACTTTTTGCAATAAATTTGAAAAGCTTTACTTTTTGCAAATAAATAAATAAATAAATAAATTAAACCTCCCTTTTCATTAGAGGGCTCGCCTGTTAAACTTAAATGTTCTGTTTAAAAAGTAAGATGAGCAACAAAGGAAATTTTATTACTAGGTATAACCACAGCTCTTGTAGAAAGGTATTGAGTACTTTAAGTGGTACCTAAAGGGTCTCTGCAGGTTAAAGAATGATCAGTGTTCCAATAGTTGAGAGAAAAAAAGTGATGATTAGTTGGTAGAACTTTGTGAGGCAGAAATCGAGGAAAGAAAGGATCTCCTAAGTTTCTACAGAAATACAGAAAAGCTGAGACAGTTGGAAAAGAGAAAATACTGTGTCTGAACTACAGCTACTGCAGGCAAAGAGTGAATTCTTCTCCACCACACGAACTACAAGACGATAGGTGTGCAGTGCTGCCACCTGAAGAAAGGTTCTCAGTCACTACAGAAGAGTGTGATCATCTAACAGAAACAGAACAGGTGACTGGTCAGCATCTACAGGGGAAAGACGAGTTGACAGGATGTCCGACTGGTGGTAGGCGAGGTTTTTTTTTCGGGGGCCCAGATGGTACTACCTGGATCAGGCACTGTTCCACATGTCTACTCATCTCCTCCTCACTCCCAGCCAATGGGGCGCTGCATAGTGGACATACCTGCCCCCCCTCCTCAGGCTTCCTCCTCTTCATTTTCCCTATGCGTGCTAGAAAAACACAGAAAGAAAAGAAACAAGTTACACTTGAATTCTTCAAAACAGGAAACCCTTGGGAATGAAATGACCAAACAGTTCTGCAGTCTCTTATTAATTCTATTCACATCGATAAGAATATGAGAGAAAAATGAAATGGCCAGAAGAAGAAATGTCAGGAGCTGGACATGACAGATTCACAGTTTATGACGCCGTCTTTAATTTTATTCCTGCCCATCACATATCACAGCCTTATCACTCCACACACACACACCCACACATTAAATTAGAAATCTAACGGTGCAGGACGGCCTTCATTGTGCCCCAAGCCTCTGTCGTTTTTCCTTAACTGCTAATGGTGCAATAGTGGACATCATTTTTTAGCTCCCTGAAAAAGCAGGAGAAGCCAAGAGGGAGATGAGGACATAAGTTAATACAATTACTGCAGGGCAGAAAGATGGACAGAGTGGGAAAAGGTGCCCTCCTACTTATCGCCATCTCTCCCCTGACGCTAATCGAGGAGAGCGTTGTTAAACACAGAAGGGAAAGGGCAGCTAATAAGGTCCAGCCCAGATCTCTGGGCCAGCACTCAGCTGTTCAACTCCATTTGAGAACAATTCATGGTCCAACGTGAGTGGACAAAGACAGATAAGAGTTCGAGGCTTTTCACAGATCCTAAGACAGAATGTGACAATAAAATCCACATCCATTTTCAAAGGCAGGTTCTTATCATGTTTGCTTCCACTGCAGATGTGAGCAATCTCAAGATTCTAAAGGATTTTATTAAGTAATTTTTATTTAATCCCAGCCTTGAATGACCAACTCCTACAAAAAGGCTTTAAAGTAATTTTTATTTAATCCCACCCTTGAATGACCAACTCCTACAAAAAGGACAGATTCTTGAGAGTCTTGACTGAAGTGACTGTCAAGTTATGTCAAACTCAATTCCTTTTCTGAGTAGATAAACCTCTAGCATATTTTGTTCAGTGGCGCTTTGGCCCAGAGGCAATGTCATTAGTGTGGAACCCCAGGGTTCACCTCCTGGGCAAGTTTGAATCTCAGTTAGGGCGGTTGGTACCTTCCAGTGGACTCACCACCCGCAGGAAGGTTTAGGGGGGTTGGTACGGTGCAATGTGATGTGGGTGGCAACTGCTGCCCCCATGACCCGGTAACAGATAAGCGGATGAAAATGGATGGATATTTTGTTCAACAGAATTCGTATGTAATCAGATAATAAAAAAAACCCTCATAATTTTTGTAATTTACAATAAAGACACTAATTGTAGTGTAAATAACATTCATATTAAGTGTAAAAAATATTTTTAGGACTAGTTTGTTTGAACAGTTTGTTTTACCTATAGATCTATTTTATAATACCACCCACGGAGGTGTTTATAACAAGTAACAAAACAATCTACAATCAGTAAAATCAAATATAAAGCACATATTGTAAATCGCTATGGTGTGTAGTCAATAATTAAGTGCAGAAACCATAAAAGTAACTAAATAAATGTAGTAAAATAGCGCCAAATATGTATTTAAGTCTGATGGTGTTTTGTGTACATACCATTCAATCTCGTTTGCCTGTTTGCACGAACTCGCAAAAACGTCTGTCAGAGAAGAAAGGGAACAAGAAGGAAAGAGAAATACACGTTAACTACCAATAAATCACTTCCGACAGTTTAAAGTGACAAACATTATTTTAATGAATGAGATTGTTATGGATGCTGTGAGGTTGTGTTGTTTTCAGGGGAACAGTGGCTCTAAGTGGGGGAAAGACCTACTTCTCTCGTCTTTGCCACCTCTTCCATCACTGTCAGCTTTCTGCCGCAGTTTCCTGTCAAAGCCACTAAAACGCGTTGCTGCCAAAGACACCGGTGTGTTTACTGACGCCCAACATTAACGCAAACTTAAGCCCGTAACGGTTAATTCATACGGATGGGAAAGGATTGAAAGTATTGCCCGGCTCGGCAAAAACTACTTGCAACCGCGGCCATGTTGGTTTGTTTTGGTCACGTGACGCATTAAAACGGAAGTGGGAAAACGTCATGTGTCGCTACGCTTACCGACCGCTGGAGGGAAGCAGTGGGTCTTACTAGCCAGCTTAGCTTCTCTCCACTTACACTGATTGGGTTACAAACAGTGTTGTAACGGCACAAATCTCACAGTGAAATATAAACTAAACCGAGACAAACGTAGATAAACTAGTAAAAAACAACACCCACGTCTGTTTATCTGATAATATTAAAGATATCAAAACATAAAAGCCAAATAAAGAATCTGTGCAAACCACAAAGGACTGTGTGAGAGAGAGATACATAGATATATGTAGATTTGCTGAAGGCCTGTGTTTCTGTAGCTTCTGTTTATGTCCTGACTAAAGAATCTTCTGGTCTTTCTCCTCTCCTCCTCCTCCTCCTACCATCCCTAACACATACACGTTCATCTATCCTTCCACCCCTTCATTCTCTCCTTGACGGCACACTTTTGTCGTGGGCCCTCTTGTCATGAATCACCACGACTGCCGTATCGTTATGAGCCACTTGCTGAGACGTTGCCCATCGGTCAGGTTTCGTTAAACAAGGTAGAGTGAACCACTGACAGGTGAAGAGAAGGTGGCAAAGTCTTCCATTACCCTTCATTTCTTCTCAGGGTGTTGAAAAGAGTCACCATTGACTTAATCATTTGTATAATATAAGGTGATTTCAGCAGTTTCACCTAATGAGAAAATCTACTTTATGGCTTTGAGGTCTTTATGAGCTGTGTCATCCCGAACGTATGGATGTAACGTCTGCATGGACTTAATAGTTCTTATTTTATGGCGCAAGGGGGAAAACCCACTTAACCCAGAGATAGATCACAGCCAGAGGAATTAGCCGAACAAACTTGGATGAATATAAGAGATAAAAGCAGATGGGAGAAGGGCTCTAATGATGGTGAAGATTTAAGGAGATTGGCCTGTTGGTTCAACTGAACTGCTGAGAGAGTAAAAACCCAAAACCACACCATCATCCCTTTTTATAGTGTTGTACATGTGTCATCGTTAGGCAAGTGAATGGAAGACTGGTGGGTTTAAGTAACACAGACCTAAAAGCACGAAAAGACCGGTTTCATGCATCACACATGTATTTGAATAATCATTATACATCCCGTAATAATTAGCTGTGTATATATATATATATATATGTTCTTATTAGTAGAGTTAAGAGATTGCAGTCATCTGAATAAATGCACACACATTAATATATTCTTATTAGTAGAGTTAAGAGTCATCTGAATAAATGCACACACATTATCCATGCTTTGATGTGTGTGTGTGTCAATGAATGTGACCTGGTATCTGTCCGAGTGGTGGGCGTCTTCTGAGGACAGAGGCGAGACCACGGGAGACTCTCCCTCACGCTTGATGTGCACCGACAACAGCATCGACTGCAGGAAACAGAGATACAGACTATTAAAAAAATGGTTAATTATCCGATTAAATTGTCACTTGAAGTCACTAACGAAGCACCTCGTGTCACATTATGTGTTACATGGGCAAGAAAATAAAAATAAAAATACACATCTATTTAATTCAAACGTTTGCTCCACATGCTGTGTATCAGAGCTCACGTTGCGTCCGCGGCGGTCTCACAGGGCAGCTGTGAAATATTTGTATTTACCGTCGTCTCCTATTAATCAAGTGGAGCGGGGCAGAGCAGAGGCTTAAGTGCTCGACAGCAGTAATCTAATAATAATATGTGAGAAATGACCAACCTCCAGCGCTGCCTCGGTAAATTGGACATTATGCATGGTTCTTTTATGCCTCTCTCTCTGTCTGTGCGTGTAGGTTTGTGTGAACGTGTGTGCGGTCGTCTCCTCTCCTTTCCTCCGCCCAGGTTTAAAAAGGTCAGGAATCATTTACCTGCCGGCGTCTGGGAATATGCTTTAGTTTTTATCATTTGAATATGACATTTAACGGCGCTCCGTGTTGTAAGTGAAGGTCGCTCATTGAAATTTTGGTCTCTTTTAAACCAACCAATTAAAGACCGGGCTCCAAATGTGGCATTTAAATCTTCATTCAGGTTGAGTCAGTGGATTTAAACCTGACCCGTAAAACTATCTTTAATATCACACCGACAGTCAAATAAAGTTTGTTGTGTGAGTTTGGACCAAGAATTTCTGCTCCAGTTGGATAGTTAGTTAGTTGTCAAACAATTAAACCCGCCTTAAAAACCTCTTTTAGGTTCATTTAGCTAAATGTTAGCCAACTTAATTCATCGAATAATTAATTTAAATTCCACCAATTATACTCTGCAGGAGTAAAAAAAGTTAATGTTTTCTTCGTGACTGTGCCGTGCAACAAATGTCACATGTTTCTCCTCCGACCTTCATTCGTCACCTGAGCCTCACAACAGGAGCTCACACCCCACGAGGAGGTGCAGGGAGGTTAATCTCCGCTCTAACAGGGCCGTGTGGTGCAAACTGGGACTGAAGACAACAACAGTGGACCCCCGTGCTTCAGACTGGCCCTCGCCATTCTCCTTACCCTGCGTCTGAATACTAAACACCAGCGGTGAGATGCACAGTCACGGTCAAACCGGACGGCCGGCGCTCACCTCTCCACCCCGCTCAGTCTGCCTCGCTCAAGTACAAGACCACACACAGAGCTGAGAGCACTGCTGTAAGCCTGGGTCAGGATCCCAGAGGGGTGAGTGTGGAAATGGACAAGGATTCCCCCAAATTATTCTAGAGCTCCCCGTGTGGCGTCCATGTTCGGGACACAATTCACGGCTAAGCTGTCTGGCTTTGGAAAGGGTTTAAGTGAAACGGGGAGGAGGAGTCAACCAGGAGTCATGACTGAAAAAAAAAAAGCTCCCGATGAAACTTTAAATTACTCTGAGCTGTAACTGTGTGATTGTGAGGAGCAGAACATCTAAGGTTTGGGTTTGAATTATGAATTTTCTCAAAATATTTTGTCTCAATTTCTTGGTGTTTATACGACACCCATCATGTACTTTTGCTCATTTAAAAAATATTTTATTTTACTATATTTTGGTTTTTGTAGCGCAGATAAAAACACTCATGATGAGTCAGTATAATTCACACAGACCTTTACCATAAATACTGAACTGGCCAGAGTCATAAACACACGTTCTACAAACATCCACCCAAAGGTTTTATAGTCCTGACAGCACACAGCACAATCTAATCTGGGAGAACACAGGGTGAAAGGCAAGCAAAAACGCCACTGACAATTCTGCTCACAATAAAAAGTCCTGTGCTGCAGGAGGGAGAAAAAAAAAGAAAACAAAAAAACCCTGCAGGAAAAACAGTAAAAAAAATAAATAAATGAAGGCATTTGTGTCAAACCAACCATAAGAGCAGATATGGAAATAAAAAAATACTATTTTAAAAAAAAGCATCTGCAGCTGTAACTAAGTCCTCTGAGGTTCCCTGTAATGACTACTGTGTTGGGGAGAGGTTAAAGATGAAGAATCCTGGTATTCGGGGGCTTTATCTCTGGCAGAGAGCGACGTGTTCAGACGAGGAGACAAGAATCTATAGGGGACGCAGCTCGGATGTGACTTTTTACAGTCTGTTGAAAATCCTCTTCCTGCGTCTGTGTTTCTCTCTTTGTGTCTCTAATTGGAACAATCACAGTACAGTGACTCCAGAACCCATGCCTCTGGAATCACAGGAGACGGGTACTCCGCTGTGTGTGTGTGTTTTTAGATGTGGTGCAGCAGAGAAGAACGAGGCGTCGGAGCGTCAGTTTGAAAAGAAGGAGAAACATATACACACGTTTAAATGCTGAATTCAATTAGTTTTCAGGTTGTCGCTGCTGTGCCAATCAGACGCTGTGGATGTATGTTGTGATGTAAATATATATGACATGTGAAATGATATATAACATTACACTATATGACAAAATGATTATCATTGTTTTACCTTAGGAGTCCCTGGAGTGGCAGCTCCATCCTTGGGTAAAGGGTTCTTACTGTAAGACAGAGACAAAGAGACGGTGTTTTATTCAAAGCTGAATGCTTCATTACAACAGTTTGAAGTATTTTCATAGTAAATTACAACATGGAGGGTGGCTCTGTCCTCCCTCCCTCTCACCCTCTCACTCCCTTTTCTAGACTACATGGCCTCTTCTACCCCTGACTGCCCCCCCTCGCCCCCCCCCCACCCACAGCTCTACATCACTGTGACACACTTGAAGTCGTTTGCCACAGAACTGACGTTGACAAAGCCAGACAGGGTTGTCATGTTTGCTTTGAGAACCAGTTAGCTCTCCAGACCTGCCTGGACACACACACACACACACACACACACACTCACACACACACACACTGACTGACTGTTGCCGACCGTGGAACGGACGTTGCCTGAAACTGATTCAGCGTGACCTCTAATCTGACAGCAGGCGTTTGCAGACGAGGGATTTCCTCTTTTATTGGATGGTGTAAACTGGAGTTTGGAGAGCCGTTCAGGACGTTCTTCACCTAATGTCAGATAGGGGGAGCTCCACCTCCCGCTCTCAACTCTGGACACAATTAGGCAAAATAAATAACCTCACATTTGGATCGTTTGACTGAAGGAAAAGAGTCCTAAATGTTTGAGTGTGTGTGTGTGTATAAAAGCCAAACACTAGGCCTCACCTCCAACAACAAAGGGAATAAACACAGGTGACACAGTCAATCTGCTGTAACACACACACACACACACACCTACATATTCTCTATCACTGTCCCTGTCATCCCTCAGTCTCCCTCTTTCTCTCCCCCCTTTTATTCATTATGTGAGACCTGTGCAGAGGCGTCAACAACAACAGCCTCCTCCACCTGCTGTTGACACTGTCAAACAGCAACAAGAAGTAAAGGGTGAGGGAGAGGGAGGGAGACAGAGGGAGACAGAGAGGACAGCCGTCGCTAGAATGCCACGAATGGCAGAAAATTGCCACAATGACAGAGGGGAGCGATGGAGAGATGAGAGGAAAGTGAGGGGGGAGAAGGAGGAGGAGGCAGATTAAATGTGAGGTGAGGCAGAGACGAAGTGAAGGAAGCAGAGGAGGCAACATGAAGAGAGGAAGAGGGAAGGGTGAGAGAGAGATGAAAGATGACAGAAAACAAGAGAAAGAGGAAGGTGGAGGTGGAGGAGGAGAGGGAGGGGGAGAGGGAGCGATGGTGTGTGAGATCATAGCTGTAACACGTCTGTTTTGACCGTTTCTGTGAATTTTTGATGCCGTTCTGGGCCTGGAAACCCAAGTTGCGACGGTATTTCAAATCAAAGAAGAAGAACGTGGGGATGAGGGGCAACAGGCTGAGGGAAATAAACACATCGGGGCAAAAGTAAGATACGAAATAATGAAAGACGGAGCGGTTAGAGGAATGTGAGGAGGTAAAGAGACGAGTGTGAGCTCCACCCACTGACGTGGTTCTCTGGAGAAAACCAACACCATGACCGGCTCCGCTGTTGTATCACGTTCATTCATTCTACTTCCTGCATTCATCCACACAGACGTGGTTTGATCGACATCGGTCGAGACGAGAGTTCGCCCGACACCCAAGAGACGGAGGAGAGAAGAAGAAGAAGAAGAAGAAGGAGAAGAAGAAGAAGAAGAAGAAGAAGAAGAAGAAGAAGAAGAAGAAGAAGAAGCTCTGTGCTGCAGAGGTGGGGGGGGAGGAGGGGGGGGATCCTGGAGTGGAGGCAAATTGATTATGGAGGAGAAGGAGGACAACGAAGAGGAGGAGGAGGTAGACGAGGAAGAAGTGCAGGGAAATAAGAGGAGAGGTGACGGGGTATGTAGATTACTTTGCCCCCCTGAGCCACCTGACATGTGCAGGGCATGATGGATTTCCATTTGCTCAACTCACACACTCACAACTGTGTGTGTGTGTGTGTGTAAGAGAGATATTTCCATGTCCACACAGGAGAAACTGTGGCCAATGAACATGTGGTGAAACCCACAGTCACCAGAGAGGACGGGCCGCAGCGGTAATCAAACACACACACACGACGTATGCATCTATAGGGGAAAACACACACACACACACACGTAACGTTAGTGTAAGAGAGATGGAGAAGACAGAGGAAATAGAAAACAAACACACACTCACACACCTTCTTCACAGCAGGAGATTAAAACAAGCGCACCTTGGTTCCACCGCTCTTTCCTTCAGCCACCGCTGCTCGTCATTAAAGGAAGATTTAGCACAAATTGGACAAAATTCCTACTGTCACTTTCAATGACGGCTGAAACCACGCAGGGTGTCAGGGAACGGGGGGGTGCAGGGGGGGGCTTTGTGAATGTGTGTGTGGGTGGGATAAAACACACTCTTGTCTTTTCTTGTATTGGTTCACACACAAAAAAACACATTTGTTCATTTTATTACAATTCAATTTGATTTTTTTTCTCTACCTTTACAAAGTGTGGTAAATATCAGGTTTAAACCATGCAGTGGCTTTGTCTCGTCTGGGGGTGACGCTATTTCCCAAATAACCACAGAAAAAACCCAATTACAATATTTAAAGTAATTATTATTTAACATTTGTGTGTAGGACATGTTTTCATGAACTCGTAGCAACTTCTGCTGTTTTTTTTTCACCAAACTTTAAAAAAAAATTAGTCTAGATTTTTTGCCATAATTTGGATTAAGAACAACTTGTGTTTTTCTTTAAAAAACAAACATGCAAAAAAACATGCTAAATTAATTTATAAGAACCAGTATAAGCTGGTCGTCCTGAATTTATTTGGATGCTAATTTGCTGAGCAGCTAAAACGGAGGTGAGGACGACGGTCATGTGATCACAGCTGATGAAGGACAAAACAGGGAGGAGATGGAGAAATGTGAAAACAATAGCGTAGGGACGGGTAATAGAGTGCTGACAGCAGTAGAACAGGCAGACTGGGGGGGGGTGTGGGTGTGTCTGTGGGGGGGCAGGTGTAAACGGGGTTAAATGAAGTGTGATTTCCACCTGGGGTGACGCTATCTGTTGCCCTGCTCCTGCAGGTTAATGGGGACCATCATAAAAGTGGGCAGCTAAGGTCAAACACCAGCACACCCTTACACTTTGTATGTACACAAACACACACACACGTACACGCACAGCCAGACGTGTGGTCCAGGTGAAATATGGGTCCTAATGGCTGTGTCCCATCGTTAAAAGGCCTTGCAGTTGATTTATTCGCCGTAAAACAGATCGCACAACTGCCACCGGGAAGAACGGGGGGGTGAACTGCTGGGGGGGGGTCACAGGTTTGAATCCGAATCCCAGTAGGAAACACTTACCGTGGCGCTGATGGCGTGCCTCTGCCTTCTATGCAGATTTACGACACCGAAATCTGTGCCGTGACAAAAATATGAAGCAGTGAATGTGACGGAGGAGCTGAATTAAAGCCCCGCCCTCACCCCCCCATGACAGATTTTATTCTTTACGAGACCTAAAAGTTTGTCTTTTCAGCAGCATTAAAGTCCAGATTATGTCACAGGGAGTGGAGGTGAGTGATGAAGACGTATCTCAAAGACATTTAGCCCTGTGATCACCCTGTGACGTGATCAGACGCGGCCTGGACCGTCTGGACTGGACCGGACTGAGACCAGTCAGCTGTGGTCTCAGACCTGATGAGAACAGACACCGATGTAGGAGGAGACACAGGAGACACAGGACGTGACCGAAATGGTGAGACATATAGCCGTTAGCCTCTCTATCTCCGTCTCCATGTGTTCCTGCAGCTCTCCGGGCCGCAGCAGGACCTGGCAGATGGGACAGATGGGAGTCTGGCTGTCGTACAGACTCTTCTTTTTACCTGCAGACACAAGAGAGAAATGGAAACGTTTATAAAAAAAGGAAGAAGAACATTTCTGATCGTTACCTTTTTGTGTGAATCAAATCAAGACTTGTACCCAACTACTTCTGAGTTGAGAGACTCACAATAAGGTGCAAATACATCAAGGTGACAGGTGGAGGTCAGAGTTGACAGATCTAAAGAGGGAAACAAGCAACAGTGACCTTTCACCATTAGATATGTGGTTGGATTATAAAGGTTATGGCGTTAAAGGCTGCAAATACTGGATGTACACATGAATACTGCAGCAATGTGTATTAAACAGGTATTAAAGTACAGTAACACACACGTCCACAGACAGTCCATTGTGGTCCAGAGGATGAGCTAATGCTGGGACAGTCTGCCAACACCACAGTCACTTCATTGTCCTGGGGCAGCAGCCCCCGGGGCGGGGCCCACCTGAACCCGTGTGTTATTGTGTTACTGGGACGTTGGATTGTACAGCGTGCACTAATCCAAACACTGTGTGTGTGTGTGAGTCGGACCATTGTGTCTAGGCTGGATATAAATACAGTCCATTCAGTGTGGGCCACTGCCGACTGTTGGAGGACACTTCCTCAGCTTCCTGTATTGGGCCAATCAAATGGGCTTTTTTTAGGCTGGGGACAATAGGCTCCGCCCTAGACGGGATATCCTGTTTGGACTGCAGGTCACCATAGCAACAGGAGAGGGGGCTAGGGAGGGTGTCTGTCCTGAATCAGGTCTGAAAGTTTACAGGAACAAATCAATTCCTTTTTTTAATTTCTCATAACTTCTTTTTCTTTTCCCTCTATTTTCTTCTTCTTTTTTTTTTTTTTTACTTCTGAGCTCTGAACTCTTCTATTCTTCATTTTGTTATCACCTGATATTTGTCTTCATCCATAACCACTTCCTAACTCCTAAAAACCTGCCCTTCCTTTCTTCCTTCCCTCCACCCTTCGTTCCCTCTCTCCTTTCTTCTGTGTGTACCTCCTCCTCGTATCCTCGTCTCCTTCCCTCAGTTCTGTCACCTTTCCTCTGGCTCCACCACCTCACCATGTTCCCTTTGGTAAATATCCATTTCTCACTCTCCCCTTCCTCCCCCCTTCACCCTCCTCACCCTCCTTTCTCCTCCTTACCTGGTTTGACAAGATAATTTGAGTCATGCTGAAGCCGTCACTATCGGCCACAGCAAACAAAGAAAGATCCAATCCCTGTCTGCTGCTGATGGGGCTTTTCAATTCTCCAGGCAAACACACACACACACACACACCTGGAGGAATCACACACACACACACAGAGTCATGTACACAAATATGCCTCTGCTTTCATGCTGTTCTTTCTGCTCCTGTAAATCACAATGGAGTCAAAGTAAAAGCTTGTTCTTTTTCCCGTCACCGTGCTGTAATTTCCCTGTAAATGTGACTTTTCTCTGCAGCGTGAATGGAACGAATGTGAATGCAAACGAACAAAAGGAAAAACAACAAGAAATAACAGAAGAGATTTAAATGAGGGAATTTTGTAAACTGCACACAGATTTACAAGGAAAGAAAAAATAAGAAAAACAGATAAAAAAAAAAAACCCAAATGGAGACAAAAACGAGTCAAAACAAAATCGTTTTCCCCCAAAACGTCAACTGTTGAATATTTACTTTAAGGTAAAACATTTTTTTTGTGGGAAATTGATATTTCTAGTGTAAAATAGAACCAGTAGGTGGCAATAATAGAACACTGTGGGAAGAAATAAGGCTGGGGGGGGGGTCACTTTGGTACTTGTTTTCTAAATACGTACTTTTTGTGCAGCAGAATTTAATGATGAACAGCCATTAAACTTAAAACAAAATTTAACTTGATTTAAAATGTGTGAATTGCGCCCCCTACAGGACAGGCTAACCTTTATCTCTTTTAGCTCTTTATTCTCCTCTGTGTCCTCTCTTTCCTCGTCTCTATTTTCCTGCTCACGGTACAGCGCTCCCAGAGGGGAGTGAGTGAAGGGGTGAGGAGGATGAACAGATAAATCCAAGGGAGGGTGAGGAGGAGGGGGAGGAGGGGGAGGTAGAAAAATGGTGTGAAAGAGGGGAAAGCAACGTGGATGTGATGTCACACACGGGGCCTTGTCAGCGCCTTAAAGATGATTAATGCTGGGCCAACACACACACACACACACACACACGCTGCGGACCTCCAGCACACCCTGCGGCACAACAAGGACGTGTTTAATCTCAGGCTGTAGAGGGACGACGGGGGAGTCGGAACAGGTGGAGGGAGAAGGAGGAGAAGGAGGAGAAGGAGCACGCGAGGACAGGAGTTTTTAGCGCTGACGTTCCTCAGTGAACAGCCAACGAGGGCTGGATGAATGGATGTGAGGCTGGAGGAGAGGAGAGGGAGGAGAGGGAGGCGAGGGAGGCGAAGGTGCGTCACCCTCTGACAGCCATGATGGAGTGTCCACCTGATCCCTCCTAATGTGCCCAGATGGATCGTCTCATCTCCTTCTCGGACTTTTCCCTTTTTCTTCCTTTCCTCCCTTTGCTCTACTCATTTCACCTCCTCTTCTTTTCACACCTGACTTCATCGTCCGTTCATCCCTTCATCATCCTCGTCTTCATCGGTCACATGACCCAGTCAGTGACCCCTCAGCTCTCTGTGTTCTCCCTACTTATTCACTTCATAATCCATACGTCCTTCCTTCCTTCCTTCCTTCCTTCTATTTGTATTTTTTTCTTCTTTCCTGTATTCCTTGCCTCTGTCCTATTCACTTGAAAACCCTCCTTGTCCATATTTCCACTTCCACTCATCCTTCCTTCCTTTCTTGTTTCCTTCATTCCTTCCTTCACAGTGTCTCCATGTGGACGCTGGTTTCCCGTCCTTGACCCAGTCTTTCCCTCTGTCTCTGTCTCT